ACCATATCTGTGCCACTATGGTTCTAATTACATTTGACAAGAGGGGTTACATTAATTTTCTTGTACCTGTATTGCATGAGACACATTCCTTCTATCTTGAATGTTATTACAGCAGGTGAGGAGAATTTCTAGTGCACGGTTAATTTTGGAGTCATCAAAGTGACAGCGCTGAGCTTGGGAATCCTTTCAGGCTCATTACCATAGTCTGCTGAATCTATTGACAGGGCCCTGCATGACTGGGCTGACGCTGCTCCGGCCCAGTCGTCAGGCAGAAGCAATGATCGAGGGGTTAACAGATGTCGCTCCGTCTTTGGGGGTCACATCCAATCTATTTCCACTGTCGGGACTCAGTCTGAGCAGAGTATGCACAGCGACGGTTCACGCTGGTTCCGTGGAGTTTGGTGAGGAAAGAAGAAAATAAACAGCTAAGAGAAACGTGTCCACCTATAAAAAGCTACAAGTTACAAATGCACAAGAAGATTTTTGAATTTCAGACTTTCTTGTCAAGGGTCAGATGTACCTTGATATAACTCCCTTCCCCCTTGCTCCTATAAAAAAATGTAAAAAAAATTAAATAAATAAATAAATATATACAAAAATATATTTTTCTTGCACAGCTGACTTTCTCAGAAAGAGCCAGTACATAGTGGAGTGTGCAATTATCTGAGCTATTCAAGGAGGAAGTGCACAACAAAAAGGGAATGGGGATGTGGGGGTCATAAGCTGCAGAATACTCCAAACTGCAGTGAAGTATTTATGCCATATACATGCATAAGCTTGTTAAGAAGAAACCCGATATTTGTGGGGAAACTGATCACTGTTTCAGGTAGACCAGGATGTAAACTGAGTGCAAGTTAAGCAATAAATTAAACACAAAACTGAATTGTTTATGTCGTCTTTTTTTTTCTTTCTTAAGTGGGTGTTATTTAACATGCAAATACACTCTTGGTCTTGATGAATGGGTGTCAGAACTGAGTATGGTAGCAATTTGTGCCAACTCAACATAGCAATTATCGACAATTCTCTAATAAACTAGACGTAGCATTTCACATCACAACATAATGAAATTGGCTACTTTCCTCACTGGGCAGCATCATCATTCCTAGAAAAAAAAATAGTCTATTAAATACTGTATGTAGAAGCTAGGAAGAAAAATGGTTTAATCCAGAAAGAGGTCAGAGGTCCATTGGAGGTAAGACGGGAACAGAATGAGTCGATTCTGTTTCGTATTAGTTTGCCTCTCAGCATCGGGGATATGGATTATATGCTTCAAACTCTCAGCCTGTTTATGCTGCTCTGCTGCTGCTGTTTGTTTACACAGTGAGGTGAAATTTTCACAGATTGTCACGAAAGGGTGTGTCATTAAACTGTCATTAAATTTTATTTACAGCTACAGCATCGAGCTATTATATAAAGAATATGCAGCACATTTATATTTGTCAGCCGCAGCAGCATTCTAAGTAAAATTAGGGGATTTAATTAATTTCTACTTTTTCTTGTTTATTCCAAAAGTTAGTGCAAAATCACCCCGTAAAAAAACCCTTAAAAATAAATAAATGAATAAAATTCTCTGCTGTGATTGAACTGTATCGACTTCCCCCTCCTCACCAAAAAATCCAAAATACATATTTTCAGCAATCATTAAAATAAAAATTAAAAAATGCTCTTAGAGAAAATCAATACTTGTCCCTGAAAATCTTGAGCAGACAAAACGCACAACACTACGGGCTGTTCAAACCTCTATAATGTTTCTGTGGCTAAATAATTAACGGTTCTTCTGTTGTAATGCTACATATTTTTTTCTCCTGAAACTCCTAGAAATGCTCAAATCCATAACGACTTCGGAGAAACGCGGTCGAACAACAAACACAATCATCCAAGGCTCCACTTGCGTCAGCAATGTGCTGCTAACTGTGCTGATTCAGGTATAAATATTATTTTCCACTCAAAGTCTGACATTATCCCTCAGTTACAGAGCCAAAATCTCTCCCATTTCCAGCAGCTGACATCTGATTGGCATTGCCCGATTCAATACAAATAGCAGTAAATAACAGTGAGCAGATTTCAGGACAGCACTATAATTGCAATTGTTGGCTGAAAGGGGTCAGAATGCTGAACTGTGAATGTAATGCATGGAGATTAGCCCCGCATGCATTTGTGAGTCCTGTTACTGTGATGTTGTTGCTGCCTATGACTGTAACATGGGCTGTAATTTGTAGGTTGTAATGCTGCGTGGGTAGATACTCATTGATAGCATTTGGCACACAGCCTTGCTTGGATGAAGCACTTAGCCAAGCCAGTCAATCTAAATATCACAGCCAGTGCTCTGAGTCAATAGGAGTGTGTTTGTCAGCTGAACATGAGGTATAATAATCAGTCAGTCTTTAGCCATCTAATGAACAGTCATCATAAGATGTTTTTACATAATCCTGCCATCTAAGATTACCTTAGTGCTTGTAAAAGCTCGCTGACGATTTGTGCCTCATTACCTTGGGACATTGGTCATTTCATTTCAAGGGTCTGATTTTCATTAACTGCTCTGCCCCCCTACCCATTAGCAGAATGAAAGCTCGGCTGCGACCATCTGGCTGCCAACTAGACCTCAGGGCTGCTTTATGGCTCCATTGAGCTTCACTAAAGGGAAAGTTGCACTATTAGAGCCTATTCTGCAGCAGGCCAGCGGGAGGACGGGAGAGATGCAAGGACAGTGTCCCATGCTTGGGGGATATAGAGGGGAAGCAGAGATAAATTTAGAAGAAAATGAGAGAGATGTCGGTGCTTAAATAGAGGAGGAAGTGAGAGGCAAACGGAGGCAAAGTCATATAAAACCTGGAAGAAAAGCCGACCAAAGAGGGGAAAAAAAGAAGAAAAGGACAGTCCAAAATGAGCCGGCGTGTAATGACGATGACACGCATGACATTTGTGAAATAAATTGTCTGTTTATTCCCAGCAGTCGAGTCAGAGCGGTGTGACAGAAAAGTGAGACGACTAATGATAACACACTCTGGTTAATTTAAGATGCTGCATGTGTACAGCTCAAAGGACTGCTGTACCTTTTATTGTCTCCACTGCAAGCAAAAAAAAAAGAACACAAAATTTATTTTTAGAAGAAATGGTCTTGTTTTTAAAAACAAACAAACAACTGCCCATTATTTATATTATTTTAGCATCTCCAATAAAACTGACCTTGGTTCTCCCCCAGTACCTTTATGATCCCACCCTCAACCCCATCTCTATTCATGCCTTAAAACTGCATTTATTTTGATGCCGTTTTACTGCGTTCTTGCACAGCAGACAGCCCGTGAATGCATGTCACCCTCCCGTGCCTTCCTCCGTTGAGGTGACAATAGAACTACGCAGAATACCATCCTGAGGACGAGCATGTGCATGTTGTTTATTTTGACTGCGTAGACTTCTGAACCATTCGTGAATTTTAGCCATTCCTGTCCACGCATGACTCACATGCCCGCGTTCTGTTCGTCAAGTCAGAAGTTACTGACTGGATGAACAGAATGTGGGCACACAGCAATTATTTTACTGGCTAAATTAAGCCCTTTGATATAGCAGGCAGAAATTATAATAATAAAATGGCCTAGATAACTAAAGGGGGTGTAATGATAAGCATAGTAGATACTATCTACAAATGCTTTTTGAAAGGTTAGCTGTCATAAGAAGAAAGCATATTTCAACAAGCTTATCTAACTAGTCATTTTAGAATAATCCCCTTTGTCACACTTGGACTGTAAATTAGATTACTGATGAATGAAACCATAGTTTATGGTAATTACTTTGCTAAATAAGAATCTGTGATGGCTGGCCTTACTCTGCACTCATTCAAAGTCATGTGGTCTTGTCCCATGTTCAGAATCAGAGGTCAGAAGTCACATAAAAGCAGCTCTTAATGCTCCTATGACTTTGGCATCTTGCTCCAGTTTAGCATTTTCTTACCTGCACACAGACTAAAGTTAAGTTTTCCCAAAGAATTGTTCATTACATTCTTGCTCTGGGTTTTTCCCAACACAATGACAAGTGAAGTAACCCCGATAACCAATTTAGCACCCCACTTTATCCATTAAAAAGTTAAAGTCTCTTGCCAGAAGTAGGGAGGCTGACATCATTGGCAAATACTTACAGCCCCGAGACATAAACTATAGCTGGATAAGAGAGGGGAAAAAAAGTGACCTAAGGGACTCAGAGCATGGCATAGTTATTTCCAGCACCTGAGGAACGTCTCACCTCAGGGCTTGTCATGCACAGCAGGGTCTAAGCTTTACAGGGAATTGGACTGGAAAAAAAAAATCCACTCAGCTCCAGTCTTGACTCCTGTGGGCACAAAAACTAGTCGGGGAAGCGTATGCTGAAATTAGGGTAAGAAAAAGAAAAGCAATGTATTTCAGCAAGTGCAGGGTGGAATACAAGTGTAAACTGACCAGCGAATTGAAGCTCAAGATTCACACAGAAGGCTTTTTTTTTAAAGCTAGTGTACATGTACCTCTCAGTAATCTGCACTCTATCTTCATTCTTGACTCACCACAGAGTCTTTGGAGGCAGGATATTTACAGAGGTTCTGGGTGTCCAAAACCAAATAGAATGAGTTGCAAATAGCTTTAAAATATGAGTTTACACGTGCATGTTATCTGCTTTTTTATACATAAGTTAGTGAATTTATAGAAGGAAAACAACAACAACAACAACAGTAGAAGTCTGAGAATAAGTCAAGTATTATGTCTGTCTATCCTAAAAATGCCATCTTTATATATTCTTGTTGAACCTGAACGTGGCTATTGTGCTGATTAAAAGGAAGGCTGTTAAAAAGAAAAACATCATCACAAGAAGCTCCAAAGACCGAAAGAACGACTTCAATGAAAACGCACTGAGCTCAGTTATTCCTGTTCCTCCAGCTAACTTTGAGGCTGTTCCATCAGCAGACGCTAGGAGCTGTCCGCGGTGCTGAATCCTCGGCTTCCTTTTTCTCTTCCCCCCTCCTTCCTCTCCATGTGCCGATAGCTCACACAGCCAGCAATCCGCTTACTGAGCGTCCAAATTAAAGAGGGACCTCCGCATTTCACTTGATTATTCTCGACGGTCTTCAGTCGGCGAATTATTGAGGAAGTGCGAGAGCATCCCGCGAGCCTTTGTTTAAAGTCCTCGCCTTGCTTGTTTTTATTCTTTTTTTGTTTTTCCTCCCCTGGAAGTATTCTTCTTCTTCTTAACACAAGGACGTGCTCCGTAGATACGCGAAGAGCGACCTCGACTTTAGTAGACATGTGCGTGAAACAAGGCTGCCAATTTCAGACCCTCTGCACGGTTTTGCTTCTCGCCGCCGCCGTGGCCGAAATCCACGGGCAAGGTAAGAACTTGCGTCTTGGTGCTTTTGTACTTTTCTGGAATTTTAGTTTTTTTCACCTCTCCTTTCCTCCGGCTAAAAAGCGAAGGCAGAGCTTAATGACACCGGGCTCACGATTCTCAGATCTACAAGTGTGATACAAGTGTTAATGTTTCCAGAATGACTCGTTATCATTGTTAAGTTTATGACGTACTGTACTACAGCACTGCTGGGGCTAAAAGTTGCGAGAGGATAGTCCTGTTTGTTTTCTCTATTGTACACTGTAAGCTACCGAAAGAAGGAAGTGGAATCTGAATTTAAAGCGAGAGGCAAATAAATGAAACCCAACAGTTGCAAACAAAGCGTGGTCAATTAGAAGTTATGGCGCATCACTGGAGAAATGCGTTTAACAGTCAGTTACATAACAATAGGCTGTCCAGCTCAACTTACACAAAATGGCTTTAATTTGTTCTAAAGAGAGACACACACATCCACGTGGCCACATAAATAGCATGGAAACAGCCTCTCTCCCCAGCTCAACCAACCACCACTACCACCACCAGGCAAGAGGAAAACTAAATAAGACAATCAGAAACTAAACACCAATAAATATGAACCTGAACCTAATGATCAATTTTCCAGCGGGATGTTTATTCGGTGGGAGTAAGCAGTCAGGAAGCGACTTGTTTGGGCGCTGAGGTCTGTGTGACAGACGGTGCTCGGTAATAAGACTCTAATCCTTGGGAATTGCTGAAGATTATTGACCAAGCTGTTTGACACAGATGAGTGCTTGTGGGAAGCTGCAACGGATTCATGCACAGTGGCCTTGTCCTAATTATTTCTCTAGTGTGGGTCTGCCCTCTCATCATCTATGCTTTCTGCTGGACACTATCTGTGTTTCTGCTTGTCTGCACAGCTTTACTGTCACCCCCCCTTTGTCTCTCTCTCACACACCCCTCTTTTGTGGAAATGATGCATATCTATTATTGTTCAAGTAACTGGATATGGACAAGAGCCACCACAGAAATAGTGAATGTTGAGTTTGCAACTCACAAAAAACACAAGACGAAACAAATGCATATGAGTTTATTATAAGAGTAGGATTTCTGGATGTTATTTTGCCATTTTTATCTAATGCGAGCGACATGTAAAGTTCAAACAGATGCCGGCAAATCGAATGCCCCTGTCCATCCTCTTGTGACGAAGCCTTTTATGAAAGGTGCCTGTTTGGTGCTGAAAACGAACACATTCACGAGCAAATAGTGATTACTAAACAATGCAATAACTGCGAGAGTGAATTCATACTGCCTGGGCTGGTTCAGTCATTACATCTCAGCCCTTTGAAAACTGAGCTGCAATTCCACACCAGTGCCTGAAGCAATATTTTACACCATCAACAAAACATCAACTGATTGAATATCTAGTGGGAGAAAGGTGTGCTGTACGGGACAGCATAGACCTTTTTTGATTTTTATATAATAAGAGTTCAAATCTGGATCTTTTCGATACACCTGAAATACATTTAGAGCGTTTAAATCTTAATTAGCATGTGAATAAATACACAGTCAGTGGTGGAGCACAGAACAATGCCGCTTTGAAAGATGTGTGAATTTTTGACTGTTTTCGGATTCACGATCGCACAGATCCCAGGCACACACCTGCTCTATTCGCACGCTGCTCGAAACTCTAGGGAGAGTGAGAAATGCAGGGTGCATTATTTTTAGAGCAAAATAAAATTTAACCGCTTCCATTAGCTGCTGTTGCTTACCCAGCAAATGTTCACACTGTAGTAAACTCTCCAAGGTGGGGCATATCAATTTTTAATTCTTGAAAGTTGCCATTATCAGGAGTTTTGAATGCGTGCTCAGTTACAGGAATGATTAACTTTGTAGTTTTGAAGAGGTCCCAATCTCTCATTTGTGCTATGACTTGTTATTGTGAACTTGATTAATTTACCTTGCAGGGGGAACACAAAAACAACCATTCATTTTGTTGTCAAGTTTTTTGGAACCGTGCCATTATTTTCTCACCTGAACTGGATTTCTTTTCTTTTTTTCCAAGAGAAAAATCAGTCTCACGTATTTATTAATGAAACACTTTCATTTAATTTATGATTTTTGCTTGACTCTAATGTTTCAGTCAGTAGACGTAAAGATTGTAAAGATGTATAAAAGACTCTTAATAATAATTACAGTATCAGTCCAAAGATATTTGTGCTGGCCTTCGAACAGCACTCAAATCATCCACCTACATATGTTACTTTGCAAAAGAATAACTCAGCCTTTTATTTCGTCACATTAATAAGGGGTGATTTGCAGAGAGAGACAGAGGGAGGAACGCTAAAATTTGGACCAGAACCTCCCAGCTAATAAAAGCACCATTACCTGCAAAAACAATGAGGAAAGACTTCCCGTACAGCCCCTGTATATATCTTATGCTTTTAATTAGTCACTTACTTTTAGTTTGTTCTCAAACATCTGCAGGAGTTCTGTGTGTACTCTGCATGGTTTCGTTACACTTACATATACACTTGGAAACCCATGCTTACATTTTCTTCATCTTAAACACAGACAATCCGACACTGCGTTACGAAAAAGTCTCACTTCATAAATAGACAAGCAGAAAAAAAATCTGTGAATCATATTGAATATAATTAAAATGCCATTTATGGGTTGCAATTTAAACATACTTTATAAACTACTGCATATGTGTTGTGAGAACAATACAAGAAGCAGCATTTTTCATCATATTTGTTGTCAAAGGGTAACAAGCCCTATGCAGTGCTCACTTACACTCTCTGCAGGATTTTGATTGCCTTAATACACAAGTCTGCTGGTCTGACTTGGATAGACAACAAGAAGGTAACAGCTTGAACTTTTATTCAGTGACAAATCAAATTTACCCTCCGATCGACAACGCGTTCTAGCGCTGGGTCAAATCTCATTGTAGGCCATGCAAGAAATGCTAGAGGAGTGCACTGCATACAAAGTCTAAGCAGCCGGAGAAAGAAGCCCACATGTGTCAACCTCCTTTATCTACTTTTAAAAAAAGCCAGTCTGCTAAATCAAAATATACTAAAAAAGCATATTGTATTTCGACTTGTTACAAAGTCATTACCAACAAAAACAAAGCAATAACTGAATTTTTTTCCGAGAGTATTCAAACAAGTATGCCTAATAAGATGCCAGCAGATGTTAAATAGCTCATTGTGCAGTCATTTAGTGTGCAAAGTTTCTGTTGGCCCTGGTGTGAAACTTAAAGTGTTACACAATTTAATGACATTCAGCTGAGCCTATTATCTTTATGCATGCACATTATCCCTGCCTGTTAATAATGATCTGTAGTGATCTGGGAGTTGCAGGAGATGTGTTTTATGTATTCTGAAGTTCATTAAATCGGTGGCGATCTCCTCCTGGCAGACAGAACTCTCATTGACACACCGCTGTTGATTTTAAGAATGTATGTTGAATTCTGTAAATCTTTGTTGTTTGAAAACATAATATTAAGTGTCACGAATCCTGTTGATAAAACAGTCGTAGGCTGATAATAATATTATTCACTTTACGGGAGATTAGATAATGTAAAGCAACAATTTTACATCAACACCACTAACATTTACCCTGCTGTAGTCCCTAAAACTGATGTGTGTTATAAATGAAAATGTCTTTATTTGGTCTTAATAATGGATGAGATGCATATTAAAACCACCGGCAGATACCAAAATGTTGGACTCACGGGAAGGATGAAACACGTTTCCGTGCTTATGCTTTTGTGCTGACACCTGTTACCACTACAGCACAATGAAGCGCCTTTCATTTCGAGCAGTTTTTTTTTGTATGCACATTCAACTCGGTGGCAATTCTTCCTGTTTGTCATACTAATGGTACAGGTTACAGAACAAGCTTTCTGTCTTCCATTGTTGTATGTGTTGTTCTCATTCACATATTCACACAGTTTGCCAAGATCACAGTTATAAGGAGGCATAATTCTGCCTTTGGGTAGATTGCTGCTACGAGCGGAGAAAAATCAGAACATCCTATAATTCCAGGGGAGGTAACAGAAATCATTCAACACCTGTTTGTTGGATTGCCAGTTATTAACTTCATCAAGGGCTATTCAGCATCTGTGTGCTGTCATAATTAGTTTAACTTTCCCAAGGCCTGTCAATGGTAAATGAGAGTCATTATGCCAGAATGCCCCTCTTCAAGGCTTGGCGCCTGCTTGCCTGCCTCAGTCCCTCTCTGTGCCTGTCTCAGTCTCTTTCACTGCCTCCTAGGTGGAGCTCACAGCTTGGCTGAATGCGACTCATTTTCAACTCTTCATGTGCAAATGCCTTTCTCGCTCTGTGAGAATGTTCTATGCATCCTAATTTGACTCATTGCCTCATATATTTTCTTCCTCAAAAAGTGTGGAGCTTTATTTGTGAAAAGCAAATGGCTATTTTTGGAAGGATTTTTATTTTTTGGGGGGATTTCATCACCGTATTGCTGGGCTTCTTCTCTAACAGCTGGAGACTCATTTATAAAAATGCACTCAGATTTATACTTGTCTTAAGATCATTCCTGGTAGCGTGCTCATGTTTGATTCATGAAAGATGCTGAGCATAAAAAAACCCCAAACCAAAAAACATTGGTTAAGCAGGTTTATGAATCGATAAATCTCAATCAACTTAAAGTGACAACAGCTGTCTTGCGATTTTTCCTGATGTAATGCCTGCACGAATAAGGGTTTAGTGTGAAACAGCCATAAACCAAAACAGAAAAGCGAACTTCACGGAAGATGAGATTACAGCAATGGCAGAGGTAACGCTAGGTAACACATATTATTCAGTGGATTAAGTCGTGGGGTGACAAACAAAGCATAACACGCGGCTTGAGAGTCTGTCTTTGGTGTAGTGAATGGGTAGAAACACAAAACCGTGACTGATGTCTGTATGAGAATGAAAGACAGATACATAATCGCTCACATGAAGTCTTGACTTCAATGAAAGGGATGAGAGAGAAGTTCATCTGTTTAATTTGTCC